GTGTTAGTCGTGTGGGGATGCCCCCTCACGGGGGCGTACGTGTCTTTTGGTGTATTTGTCTGTCTGGTATATTGTTTGTCGGGGGTCGCAATTTTAAAGAAATGTATTCTAAAGTAATGAAAATAACTGATAAATAAGTAAAAACTTACCTGGGCATAACCCCGGCACAGGTGCTGTAACAAAGATGCCGACGGCGTCTATGCTTAAGCCGGGGATTAGGTCGGTGATTAAAAGGAAAGAAAGGGATTCTTTCCTGGTAGCCTTAATAAAGGCAGGTAGATCTTGCTCGTTGCAATGCACTTCACCTCACAAACAAACACGTCTGTTCAGCTCGGCTGTTCGCTCTGAACTGATCATTGAGGCCAATTTCTAGCCATGGAATAATGGCGACCTGTCTTTCTAGGGCCAGTCCATAGTTTACTAGGTCTATGGTAGAAATATACAAGGAAATACTTTTTCGTTTATAATTTGGTAAAGGATAGCCTATATTGACTACTGTTATATAACTTATGTTGTCCACAAAAAAATAAATAAAAAAATAAAAATAAATAAATACAGCTTGAACAAATTGTAGGAGTCTGCTACATTTTTTTCTAAAGCCATTGTCATACTATCAAATTTCCATCAAATTTTATTCATCAAAATAATTTAATGACATCAAAATTATTTTTCATTCTAACGAATTACTTTGATCGAACTGAAAAAACGGAAATTAGTAAAATAATAAATTAAAGGTATTCTAAGAATGGTATCAAAAGCTATCAGTTTAATTTTTCAAATTAGTATTTTGTTAGTTAAAGGTCCGGTACTTAGAGTCTTGGTTAAGTAATCACATGATTAGATTGTACATATTCTGATTTATTTTGTAAACAATATTCAGTCTGATCGCCTGATTAGTTCAGGTTTTAACCCAGACTCAAAGTACCGGGTCTAATAGTTTTATCAAACTCATCATGACATCAAAACTTCAAATTGTTCTGATCTACATTTCCATGATACTGAATGTTTATTTTTCATATTATCTACATCATAAACATAAACCATCTATAAACAATTATAATAATAGGTTAATATTTTAACGTGAAAAACATTTTTAAGATAAAGGCCACTTCTACACAAATGGTGAAAAGTATTTTTTCAATATAGACATCAAAATTTGGATCTATTTTCTGGAAAAAAGTACTCTTGGTAAAATTCGTTAGAAGGCCATCTTTTTGGATACTTTAACTTTTCTATATTCTTTGTTCAAATAATCATATTAAAAAGCTAATATTTTTCAGCTAAAGGGAGTGGCATAATTATAGTTTTAAATTTATTATAATAAATGCTTAAAGTGGGGCGTTTTTATACATAATTTTCAGTGAATTTATAGCAGTCTTTTGACAAGGGTTTTAGAAAATCTAGGCAAGTTAGAAACAATATTTCTTATCCCTGTACCAGTTGTTTTCTCCAGGGTATAAGAAAATTTACAAGCTGATAATACATTGAGAATAAGGAAAAAAGCATATTTTTACTTCTTGTGTTTATTATTAAATATCCTGAACTTTACACACCTGTATACAGAAAATCGTGTACAGTACTATAAACATAATAGCCTTAAGAAAAGATCTACAATTAGCAATAAATATTTTTTCATGAAATTTGACACAAACCCAATTGAGGGGTGGAGAATCCAGTGGCATAGTCAGATTTGAAAGAAAAAAATTGCAAAGCAAGTTTGACAACTGAAAAAAAAATTACGTAATAGAATTTACCTTTCAAAAATACATAAGGTGTTCCAATTTCAAATATATCTATACCAAATAATATGGTTCAAGTAGATATTGTCAAAGATAGTTTAATTAGGATGTTTGGTTATTTCCTAAGGGACAAATATATTTGAAACGTTTAGTAGTAGCCATTTTACTATTTTAACTTTTTTCTTTTTTTCTAGGTCATACAAGGAATAAGTGCCCAAATACCTAGTTAATAATCATATTTACTAGCGTTTTATATTTAATATAAATAATACAATCCTCTTTATTTATTTAGTTTTTCCATTTTGTTAATTTTCTTTATTTCTCTTTGTTGAATATGACTTTCAGCAGTAGTTTGAGTTAACTAAAAAATAAAATAATTTACTGTTAGTATGCAAGAAATAGTATATTGTTGAATAAGTGCGGTAAGTTGTCTATTGCCCACGAGAGCGGAGTTCACTCATTTTGTTTGTGCACTCATCCGCTCAAGTGGGCAATAGACAACCGCACGAATTGCACATACTATTTTTTATTACGAATGCAATGAAATCTTAAGGGTCCAAGAGCGAAGCCCCAGTGGGTCCACCTATTTTTATTCAGTTTAAGTTGACATAAATAACTGTCATTTAAATGTCACTTTTTAAAAATAATATTTTCGAGTGTGTAGGTATTTAAATTTTGCGTGTTTTATTGGCAAATTGTGTTTACTGAAATCTCTTTCTCTTTACTAAAATTTCTTTACGAAAACTTGCATTTAGTATTAGAAAAATTATTTTCTTTACTGTTTACATTGTGTAGCTATATGATGGTTATACTACAAAGCCTTCACAAAATGTTTAAAAGCGACGTTACCTCCGAGCTTAGGCAACTAACATTGCAGGGCTGATACTGGTAACAAAAAATCCCTAATCTTGGTGCCACCAATATTAATCATTCGTTTACAATGAACAATGACAAATCGTTACATCTACACTCGAGATAATGCGATCACTAATTGGTTGAACAGAATCTCGTGGAAAATTGCACCAGCTGGTGAAACAGATTATTGCGTTTTAATGTAATCTTGATTTTATTGTTTTAATAATTTTTAATTTTACCAAAATTTAATTGCCAACATGAAGGAAATTAAATTACTGTTCCAAACAAAATTTCTCGTCAGGTAGCTTGTAATCATTTATGAAGGCTCTGTAGATACAGGATGTTACAGATAAGGTAGAAAATCTCTGAAGAGGCGATAGATCTCAAAAATAAGACAAAAAGTTCATAATCATATGTCATAAAATCCTTAATTAGAGATATAGTGACAAATAACCTGAAAACCTCGTTTTCTTATATAATATCGAAGAACGAAAATTCGGTTAAAAGTTCATTGTTTACAACATTCCGATAAGAGAACAAAATTTTTAGTTACCTTATAGCTAGAGAAGACGGTCCACCCGGAATTCGCGTGGTAAGTTGTATCAGTGCACTATCAGCATTGCCAGTTGTTACATTTTTAAATCAACCTACATTATGCGATGTTACAATACAAAATAATTAAGTTAAACAAACTGCTTACAGACGTGTTGTGGTGGGATGGTAAACAGATAAAAAACAAATTACTACGTTAATATAACCCCACAGACAAAAACTCGTAACTGCTAATATTGTAGGAAACAACTATATGGGTTATATGCCCCAACTAGTATTGAATTACAACACGCTAATACACAGAAATAGGAGAGCAAAAATACAGAATGTTTCTTTGAAAGATTATATTAACAATTTCAATATCAGGTATATATTTTTGTGTTAATTATATCTAGACATATCAATTTTTGTTTTTATTTTGGATATAATATTTATTACTAGCTGTTTACGAGATATAAGCGTGATGTAATATTACTAGTTGGGGTATATAGTCCATAGAGTAATTGTTTCCTGCAGTATCAGCAATTAGGAGTCTTGTTTGTGGGGTTAGATTATATTTCTTTGTATTAATTTAATACCTTTAAAATAGAGTTAAAAAATGCAAGAGCTAATAATAAAATATATTTTTTAAGGAAATTTTCCATCATATCTGTAACACCCTGTATATTAAATTTACACTTCGGTGCTGAAGTAAGGCAATTAAATTATTACCAACCATATTTAGCAATATCTCCAGTTTCAAATTAAGCAAATTGTTTTCTTCTTGTAGCACCTCCATTTTTTTTTTTAATCTTTGACCAGACTTGTGCATCACACTGTTTCTGCCAGATTCTGAAAAAAATATACATATTGTCATAATATTTCTAATTTCAGTACTTGAATAGAGTATGTATGAATTTTTGATTGAAATAATGTATTAAATGCGCTCCTCCAAGATCATAAGTATCTAGTTTTGAATTACAGAAATTCAGTTCGTAAATTGTTTATCAGATTACACCCATTTGCAAATATCTGGTGAAACATAAGACAACTGTGCTCCCTTCATCCAGTGTAAACTTCAAAATAATTTGAGGAGACATCATTTTCAGTCCATACCATTCTGGTATAGGTGTTGGAATTTTAGTAACAAGCAACAACTGCATCAGAATTGTCTGTTACAATTTCTTATCTTCTCTAATTTGTATAAGTTAATTTCCAAGGTTTACTGGATTTTACGGATTTGAACTCGTAGCAAATTTTGTTCCACAAACAAGCAGGGCCAAATCTTAGAAGGCCATTTTTCAACACCAACTTTCATTTGTCTCTAAAACAAATATTTTTTTATCCATCCGGGGACATGTATTACCTTCAAGATCAAGGTATGGTTTGCGGTTAAACCACAAATTATACAATTGTCTCTTAATTCAACTGATAAAAATTCTAAAGGGTGTCCCTTAATAAAAACAAACAAAAAAAGTTCAAAAGAACTAGGGGTCAATTCCAACATCTAAACCCCATAAAATATCGGTACCAACTTTGGTTTAATGTAATGTTACGGTTAACAATTTAAAAAATGCACAATGGTGAGAAAGTATTCAGAAAACTAGCTGTGCACTAAGGGTGAAAATACTTCCCCCACCACATTACAATTGACAAGCTGTACATGTTTTTGGTTATTAATACAGTTAAAAAAAATAGGCTGTGGGACTCACTTTTTCATGACCTTTGAAAAAAAATCTCTTGGTTTCTGTTGTATAAAAGAGTGATTGGTTTTATGGCTTTAAGCTTTTACTTTATTTTTTAATTTAAGGATATAAACTTCAATCACTGATAGAGGACTTTAAAAAATATTTTTGTACTGGCAGTTTAAATTGTTTAGGGAATTCGAGCATATGAAAGAAATAACAAATGACCAATATAAAAAAGATCGTATTTGAAGCCTCATATCTCAAAAAACAGAAGATAAACAAGAGAACATTGCAATATTTTTTAATATTCTTCGAGACCCCAATTTATGCCACCTTATTGCAAAACACTCTACATAGATAATTGAATTGAACCTGTTTTGAACATTGTAAAAACTAGAACCTCTTAATTTTTTGTTTTTGAATTTTTTATTAAAAAACCTAAATCTGTATGCAAACAAAAAAAAACAATTTTCGACTGTACGAAAAGAAAAAACTTTTATGAATAAGTGGCAACCTATATAAATTTGATCAGAAACTAATCAGTGACGTAAAAATTAGTAGAAATTTGAAAATGTTCAACTGACAAAAAAATAATTTGATGTCGAGGAGCTCAAATCTTAAGATATTAATAAATTGATCATATCTCACACAGAAGTAGATAATTAGTCGCGCAGTTATTCTGTGAAATTGCTTTAAAGTCAGAAAATTAGTTTATAAGCCTATTTGTTTAGGGTCATGTTTAAGGCCCCACCATGAAACCCTTCACCAGTCCATGTAAAACCAGATAATTTTCGTAGGAGAATAAAAACTAAGCTGATGTGTTGCAATAAAGCACTGAGAAATGTGCTGGCTCTCGGCGAATTTATTCAGGATGGAGAATATACGGGGTGTTCTAAAAGTCTATCAGGAAACTCCGAGAGGTGATTCTACGGATTAAAATAATAGCAGTATGTAATGAAAATTTTTTCGAATTGTGAATTGTTTGCAAGTTACAGCTTGTCAATTTTTTTTTTTATTTTTCTATTTAAATAATTTATAGAATTCAAGTCTGATTAGTCTCTCATTTCGCACAGCCACTAAGTAGATGAAGTTCTATTGGACCAGTCAGAGAAAAGTTTCATTATGCACCGCTAGAGGGTACTTTACCTAGAACTCAAAAATACGTTTTGTCATAACTTTTTTCTCTTGCTAGACATCACAGAAATTTAAACATTATTGAAAAGAGAAAAAATATCAGAAAAATTTATGTACTTTTTGTTCAAGCCGATAAATGTAAGCGTTTAGCAGGAAATCGTTATTAATGTGTTATTAAACATCAAATTTTTGATAATTCTTTCTGTAATTCCTGCAAAATGGTTACATTTATCGACTTGAATTAAGAGTACATAATTTTTTCTATTACTTCTCTTTTCAATAATGTTAAAATTTTTGTAATGTCTAAGAGAAAAAAGTTATGAAAACAAATTTTGAGTTTTAGGTAAAGTGCCCTCTAGCGGCGCATAATAAAACTTTTCTCTGACTGGTCCAATAGAGCTTCGTCTACTTAGTGGGTGTGCCAAATGAGAGACTAATCAAACTTGAATTAAATAAGTTATTTAAATAGAAAAATAAAAAAATGAACTTTGACAAGCAGTAAGCTGTAACTTGTAAACAATTGACAATTTGAAAAAATTTTCATTACATAGGTACAGCTATTATTTTAATCAAGAGAATCACCTCCCAGAGTTTCCTGATGGACTTTCAGAACACCCTGTATAGATACACTAAGACAAAGTTTCCATAACTATATCATTTTCACTTTTACTACAAATTACTAGTTATAATAGGTTTGGTGTAATTTAATTTTTTTTATGCATTCTAACAGCCAGTTGAGACAATTAATGTGGTTTAGCCGATTATGGTTTTTATTTGTTTTATTTGCAGGTAAACCAAATTCATTTGGGTCCTGAGAGTAGAATGCGCAGTGGCAAAGTAGTGGAATGAAGAACCATGGATTCCATCTCATTTCAAATGTGATGTCTAGTCAGTTTGTGTGTTTCAGTACTCAAGTGCATTTGTTCAGTTGTACATGGACGTGGCTGGCTGGCTGCTATTGAGAACTGCAAACTCCAACCAAAATTTACGTCTTCAATCATTATCAATCAAGATTTATGTTTGACATCCCATCATTGAAAAATTTTAAAACCTTTAAAAAATTTAACATTTGTGATATTTAGGAATCGACCTTGAAAGTTTATAGTAAAATCGCTATTACGCCCTGCATGCAATTAAAAAAAAATTACCTGGTATCCAGTCACCATTTTCAAATATATATTTTTGGTCGCTTATTTTTATATGTAAAGTTCTTTGATCTGAAGTTAATTCTTCAATTGTTCCACTAGATATATCTGCGCCTTTTCTTCGAGGAGCTTTTTTTGGAGAAAATTTACTTGTAAAAAAAGGCATAGTTAATCTAAAATTGGGTAGTTTTGTTGAAGGAATATATTAGTATTATGTCCTAATGTTCATCACTATGGTAACTACACAACAAACTAGAGCAGTATTCCCAGCCATTTAAATATAAAAGTACTAAAGTGGGAAGGAATTTGGTACATAAAATTATTTTAATAATTTACAATTTTATTAACCAAAAAATTCGAGAGAACATTTATGGTCAATCAAAACTCCTTTACTTAATAATAAAGAGTTTGTTGTACTGTGAAGTAACTTTCTATTTTTCGTTTTTATCAAAATTTTAATCAAAAGATTCGAAGTCAAGCGTTTGAAACTCGCCTATTACTGATTCTGGCAAATTAGATATCCCTGACCTCTGACTCTGAACCCACACCCACAGTATCAGTAATATAAAATAAATAATTAATAACAATAACACTGAACAGTAACTACTAAAAAACAGACCACCGAGTAATTACAAAACTAGAAAACTACACTACGACCACACACTACCGTAATCTGTTCTCATTCAATGCGTGTTCTATAGTCCATATTGTTTATCATGGAGATTACAGAAGGAGCACGAACTCTATGTAAACAGATATCTTACCTAATTAGAGGGCGCTAGTGTCCCACATACTCCGAAATAGTGGAAGAGAGACAAAAAAAGCGGCAGTTTGAATTAAAAATCAATAATGTCGTTTTTGTTATGTGTTAAAAATTTTAAAATAAATAACGATTAGATAAATAAAATAATGAAAATGAAATGAAATAATGAGAATATGTCGGTTCGAGCATATACTACGGGAGGTAGCATGACATTTCGAAAAGTGTGACTGAGTGTGCGAGAGAGACAGACAGATGTCAGTACATGCTGTCTCATTCTAGCACGCCGAGATTGGTTAGAAATGAATGCTCCAACCAATCGCACGCCGAAATTGGTTGGAAATGAATGCTACAACCAATCGCGGCGTGCTAGAGTGAGACAGCATGTATTGAGATACCGTCTGTTTCTCTCGCACACTCAGCCACACTTTTCGCAATGGTATGCTACCTTTAGTAGTATATGCTCGCAGATGCCGGTGTACAAGGAACACTAGCGACCCTAGCGGTAAAAACTATAAGTAATTTCTACTATTACATTGTCAAATTTTGTCAATTTTCCTATATGAGTTAGTGCTCCTTGTCTAGTCTCCCTGTGGATTATGCACGGTCTGCAAAGAAGACGGTCGAGTAATAGACAGAAATTATGGGCGTGGCTTGTCTCATACTACGTCACAAGATTTCTAACCATTAGGATTTATGTTTGTTTACATGCGACTTGACTAGTAATTTTACATTTTTCCAGGTATTTAAGTAAATCTTTCATAGTTGTTTGGGTATTTTGCAATAATTAGTTAGTTATTAATATTATTTTTTAATAAGTTGATGGTGTAGTGTTTATTACACAGACGAGTCGGCGAAGCAAGAAGAGCGCCAGAAGAAAGGGCCCTAGCTGGCGGGGCACAGCCAGGACAAAAGGAGGTCCCACAAAGCGCCTAGACCGGCCGCATTTGCGGTCGGGGTAGATGACGGATGGGGCCCACCTACGAAGGCTGTCCAGGCCTACACGAGATGAGGCAGGATAAAGAGGGATAATCCCCCTCGATCCCAAATCATTGAGGCCAATTTCTAGCCATGGAATAATGGCGCGGTGTAGTGGTTAATATAAACTAGTAATTAAACACGTAAAAATGCCTGGAGTGAGGTGTAGTGTTGCAATTTGCAATAATAATTTTTATGGTGCTAAACAAGACAATTTAAAAATTTCAATTTATGTTTCCTAAGGATAAAACCTTAGAAAGATATGTGTGGAACGGTGTCAGTACCGAGCGGGCAGCCGAGTAGAGCACACGTGTTTTGTGAAAGTGTAGTGCAAGGAGCAAAATCTACCTGCCTTTATTAAGGCTACCTGGAAACAATCCCTTCCTTTCCTCTTAATCACCGACCTAATCCCCGGCTTAAGCATAGAGGCCGTCGGCATCTTTGTTACAGGTACCTGTGCCGGGGTTATGCCCAGGTAAGTCCCACTTTTACTTATTTATCAGTTAATTGAATTACTTTAGAATACATTTCTTTAAAATTGCGACACCCGACAAACAATACACACACGCACAAAATGTCGGACTCGGAAAACGAGGAGAACATATACATATACATGGACGATACAGACAGCAAAAGACCCTCTTCAAGGGTATCCGCTTCACCAAAAAATATGACCACTAAAACAGATTTATACGAACAGCTACTAACACAAAAACATGAAAACGAGACGCTAAAACAACAAACACACGAACTCACAGAACAAAACACTCGACAATGCCGCGCGCCATTATTCCATGGCTAGAAATTGGCCTCAATGATTTGGGATCGAGGGGGATTATCCCTCTTTATCCTGCCTCATCTCGTGTAGGCCTGGACAGCCTTCGTAGGTGGGCCCCATCCGTCGTCTACCCCGACCGCAAATGCGGCCGGTGTAGGCGCTTTGTGGGACCTCCTTTTGTCCTGGCTGGGCCCCGCCGGCTAGGGCCCTTTCTTCTGGCGCTCTTCTTGCTTCGCCGGCTCGTCTGTGTAAACCCCGGGGGTAGTGTCATGTTTATGTGTGGTATGGTTGGGTAGGGTAGTGCGGCTATGCAGCCTGGGATGCGCTTTGCTAAGGTGGCCCTTAGGCTAGCGCGGGAGGGGAGGGTTAAGGAGGGTATGGGGGGTGTGTGTGTGTGTGTGTGTGTGTGTCGTTGTCTTCGTTTCTTGATCCTGGCTGTCTCTGAAACAGAAAAGGTTAGCGGGCAGGGGGGGGGTCATTGGGGTGGTCACCCAGGGTCAAAAAGTTGGTGTCTAGGTCTTTTGTGTTTGTCGGTCACGTCGGGTACGTAGTCAACGGCTTGCCTGAGGAGGGGATTGTCATGTCTAGCGGCTACGTCAAATCGTTTCTCCGCGTTTTGTCTTATTGTCTGTGTAGCGTTTGTGTATTGTAAGTCTCGTAATATGTCAGTGTTTCTTACGTACCAGGGCGCGTCGGTGGCCGTGCGGAGGGCTATGTTTTCCACAGCCTGTAATGACTTTAAGTGGCTTTTTGCCGCGTGACCCCACGCCGTGGAGGCGTAGGTTAGCTGCGGTTGAAGTACCACCTTGATAAGCGTTCGCTTATTCCTTAAACTGAGGGTGTTTCCACCTTTGAGTAAGGGATAGAGCCTAGCCCTGGTGGTCTTCGCTCGCGCCACCGTCTCCACGATGTGCGGTTTCCACGTGAGACGCTGGTCCATCGTCACGCCCAGGTATCGTGTTTGTCGATTCCAGGAGATGGGTTCCTGGGATAGTGTCAGTCTGTCGAGGTTTTGTGGGATTTTTCGTTTGGTAAAAAGGATAGCCGAACTTTTGTTGGGATTAATTTTGACTTTCCACCTGTTGCACCAGGTTTCAAGTTGGTCTAAGGAGCTTTGGAGGAGGTAGACGGAATATCTAGGATCTACGGATTGGGATGTGATTGTCAGGTCGTCGGCGTATAAGTATATGTTGGTGTTGGGGGGATGTGGGATGTCGGAGTTGTAAATGGTGTATAGGTGTGGGGACAGGACGGTGCCCTGGGGGACACCGGCCTCCATGGGACGGGTGGTGGAAAGGGAATCTTGGATTTGGATGCGGAATTTTCGGTGGTGTAGGTAGGATTTTATGAGTTTGGTAAAGGATATGGGATATTGGTTGGTGAGCATTTTCATCAGTAGGCCTTCATGCCAAACCGTATCGAAGGCCTTTGCGACGTCCAGGAAGACAGCACCAGTGTACTGTCCCCTGTTGAAGGCCGCCGTGATGTGCTCGGTAAGGCGAAGGATTTGGAGTTCAGTGGAGTTATTGGGTCGGAAGGCGAACTGCTCGTCTGGAATGACTTGCAGTTCTTGGGAGTGGGTTCTTAGACGGGTTAGGACAATTTTTTCTACCACTTTGCTCATAGCCGGGAGCAGGCTAATGGGCCGGTAGTTGGATGGGATGGTGTGATCTTTGTTGGGTTTTGGGATAAGGTTTTGCTATTTTCCAGCGGGTAAGGAAGTGTCTTAGTCTGAGTGTCGCGTTTGGTTCTCTGAAAAACCTCAGGACTACAAGCTAATCCAAAGGCTAATCGCTTGTACCTGTATTTGCCAAACGGTGGAATAAATGTACAGAGTTTACTACTCTCTTTGTCTAGGCCAATATGGTAAAAACCTTCTTTCATATCTAAAACTGAAAATATACTTTTACCTTTTAACTTCATTCCAATTTCCTCAGCCGTTGGTATAGGATGTCTGTCAGTACATATATATTTATTTAGATGTTGTGGATCCAGACATATTTTTAACGAACCATCTGGTTTTTCAACGCAAACTATGTTATTCACCCATTCAGACGGTTCATCAGCCTTTTCGATGATATCCCTAAATACCAAATTATCCAATACATTTACCTTTAACTACATCTGGTAATCTTCTACAATTACTAACATGAGGAATATTATTACATTTTAACACAATCTTATATTCAAATGGAACCTTACCAGTACCTGAGAAAACATCTTTATTCGAGTTTATTAAGCAATTCTTATTTTCAATCTTTAAATCAAGTGCATCAATTTTTTTTACCAATTTAAGTTTAGCACATGCATTTAGCCCAAGAATAGGTCTGCTTTTAACATCAACTACTAAGAACTTAATATTTACTCTATTATTCCTAACTTTACAGTTTAAAATGACGCTTCCTTCAACTTTTATCCTATTTTCACCATAAGCTACTATAAACTTGTCAGTTTTCACTATGTCAGTACCTAACTTTAACGTTTTAAACAAATTTAATGGCAACACATTACACCGTGCACCTGAATCTAACTTAAAAATAGCAATATCATTTCCTATTATTACAGGCTCTTCCTATTCTTGAGTGGCAGTATTATTTAAATTATCAATTTGTATCAACTCAATGTACACGTCACCATCATCATTATTATTATCAGTTATCTCATTTACATTTTTCTTACTAAATCCTACTTTTTTATTTACAGTCATATCACTTTTATTTTTCTGCTGGCAACCTATTACAAAATGACCTACCTCACCGCACTGATTACATTTTTTCCCGTAAGCTAAACACTTGCCTCGATTATGTTTTCTTCCACATTTCTGACATTCATAAACATCTTCACCCTGTCTTTGGTTTGCTGCTCCTTTAGTTGTTTTGGTATACTTCGCCTTTAGAATATCTACTTCTCCTTTTAGACTTTTAGCTTGAATTTTTGTAGCTCAGTCGCCTTACACATGGTTATTTCTGC